TGAGCAAATTGTGCCAGAAGAGAAGGTGGAGTTCAGCATCATCAGCTGAACTGCCTATGTGCCCATCAAACACATCATTATTTTTGTTCATTTGAACCTTGCTGTAGAGAGCTACAGCATAATTGTTCTAATCTCAGCTTTTCTGTTAGGTAACAGCATCACRTAAACATCCTTTGGGCTGTTTTCATCACAGCTCAAACCTGTCAGCACAGTTCTTTTCCAGATTTAGTGATTCTGTTTGCCACTATCAGAAGAACRCAGTAGGTCATCACCAAAATGGAAACAATGCAACAGGAGCAATTTTAGTAGTCAGAACATACAAATGAACAAAGTGAACCACAAGACACCTATCACACAGAATTCTTCATTCCYCAGCTCTGTCTTTTTTCACTTGTTTGCATCTTAAAAAATTCTGTCAGCAGAACTTTCTTCTTGCCCCAGAGAGTAGCTCATAATTTATRAATGACAGCCAGTTAAATCGGCTCTTTGGGGTTTCCCTGGCAACAAACACATCCTAATACTTATTGCAATCAGACCTGACAAATCCATGAAGTTATTGCCCCCTCTGCCACATTCTGAGTCAACAAGGTCATCCTGGAGAGTGCTGTAATTTTTGAGCAATATTTCCGTCTCTGCAGATCACATTTACCTGCAGAATGAAGCTAACAGAAATCAGCCCTCCTTGCTTTTCCCAGGGAAATGATCCCTTAAAAACTCAACAGCATGTCTACAGSAACAGTGCAGGAATTGTAACAAAAGACAAAGCCAAAAACCCTGYAGGCACCAGCACATCTCGTGGTCAGTAACCCCTACCTTCTCATCACTGCCTGCAGGAGACACTGCTCCTGAAGATTATACAAGTTTTAAAAAGCAATGGCTTAAAGTGGATTCACACAAATACTGTAGGATTTTTTCAGGACAGCAAAGATATTACACAAGATGCAATGTAATGAGTTCCTCTAGTCCATTATTTATGTTATGATAACACAACACTTTCCAAAAGCATTTTCTTTCCTGTCTGAAAGGATTTTCCTGTGACTGCTGTAGTGAACTTCAAGCCTGAGCTATTTTTTACATGTCCAGTGTCTTCACAGAAGTGAATCTGACACAAAAATATAACTATTGTTGTGAGGTTTGGTAAAAGATGAACGAGTATTTTTTGTTTTCCACTYCATGGTCCTGCATTTTCATTTGCAAAACATACATATATGTAAATATATACATATGTAAACATATAAATAGACATATGAAAACACACACACACATATATATATATGCACACACCCTACAGTTCTATATGTAGGTATCATTTCCTTAGCAGTTCCTGAGGTTGCAATTTGATGATTTCTGTCTGTGAGCTGCAGCCTCAGACCTCTCCCCTTCCTCCATCTCTCCAATTTCCACTTTCCTGGTGTTATGGAGCCCCCCTGACTAAATTGGGAGCTTCTGACTGAAGCAGCTAAACCAGGAGAAATCTGGCCCAGAAAAAACACGTTAAAAAAATTAAAAACAAACAAACAAACAAAACAAACAAAACCAGAAACACACAAAAAAACCCACAAACCCAAAAGACCCCCAAAAAACCCCATCAAACCTCCCAACCTTCCCCCCACCAATCTTGCTGCCTATTTAGCTCCAGATTGGGGATCAGGGTTTGGCTTTATTTTAAGATGACAGTAAGGCTTTAGCCCAGCATCACTCASGTCAACACTTGCTAATCAACTGCAAGAAATTATTGCTATTACCATTTTTTATGAATAATCCTTCAAATCTTTTAAGGAATGGTTTTCCAACCAGCACCATACATCCATACATGTCATGTGGGATGTCATCAGACAGTGGATGTCTGTCCAACTGGGTGTTATTTCTTATAATACTTACTTAGAATCCCTAATAAAAAAGACCTTGTAAAGTCCTAAGTTTACATATTAATATCCCCTTGAAGAACAGGCTGCAAAATAAAATTCATGCTTGTAGAATTGATAAYACATTATTTATCCTACATGGATACCTCCATAACAGCACTCTGAAAGCACAAAGTATTGATGTTGTTAWACAGAGGGGAAGAAAATCACATGACAAAACAAACAAACAAACTAACAAACAAAAATACATTTAAAAACCCACACAATTATTGGAAACTAAGGAAAAAATACAAAGTTGAAGTGTCTTTTATGACCTTACTTCATCTCCAGTTTATCCTCACCAGACAGTGCTAAGGAACCTTATCTGCAGTAACAGAGCAGTGGCAGTTTGCAATGTCAGCTCTACAAGAAAAGATCCCATGCATAGAAAAGGACATGGGAAATGGACATCAAGATCATAAACTGATAAAAAAAATACAAAAAGTTATTAAAAAACCCACAGCTAYCTAAGTTATTTGTAATTCTCTCCATGACCACAATGATCTTTAGGTACAGCTGTGAAGCTGTAAATAGCTGTTTAATTCAAAGTGTGGCATGTGGCTTTTACTACCTTATTCAATTTTTAAAATGTGATCTTAATTGCCAAAAATGAGGGGAAAGAACATTACTTGCTTTTAAAGAAAAAGAGGTAATTATTTTTATCCATCATAYGTATGAAGGAAAAAGTGCCCTAACACAAATATATTGATATTGGAACTAAACATTAAAATRCCAACTCTTCGGTACCATCATTTGCACCCATTTGACTCGATCCTCAAAAGTCTCCTTCACAAGAAATCATTTCCCTGTTAATCTCACCCAGCAATTCAGTTCTCCAAAGCTGAGCTGTGGTCCAGGAAAGACATTAAAGGGAGAGAAATGCAGATGATCAGGTAACAGCAGCAAGGAACAGTTCACACTGTGCCCATTTCTCCTTCAGGTCAGTGGCAGATTTCCCAGAACCAGGAGACAGAGAAGCATCTTCCTATTTTGTGTCTTGGCAAAAGGATTCCAATTTTTCCACCTTGAAACTCTCATTACTGTGGGCTTTTCTGGATGGAAACTTTTCCCCTGTTCTAACAGGCCCAGAAGTGCTCTCTGTTAGCCTGATTAAGTCAGTCAAAAACTGTGGAGAGRTTTTAAATACATTCAGTGGGCTTTGGGTCAGCAAAATGTAAATTAAGGAAAGATTCAGCTCAAAGGAGTCCTGCGAAGAGTGGCTGTTCCTTTGCCCTACCTGAGCTCAAGGACAGTYGAGGACATCAGGATCTCTGACTGAGCTGTAAGAACTTTTAAAAGACCACCAGGTATGTTTGAAAGTTTCAGTGTTTAGTAGAGGCYGGAGTGACATCTTTTTCTTATGCTGTAAAAACCAATTCTGCTTCCTACATGCTGGGATTTCCCTCAAATATCTAGCAACCCTATTCAGGGTCTTCAGACATAGGTTCTTWAACATTATTTTCTGATGGGGTAATCAAAATTTTCTAGTCTAAATTTAAAGCTGTTGTCTTGATGACTATAAAAGTATGATGAAAGGGAGGTAAAAAAAACCATGGATATTTGAATTTAGTAATGTAGCACTATGATTTCACTTTCTTACCTCTCCCTTCCCCAAGAGTCATTCCCATGACCCAGACTGGGGTTTGGGAGCTTGGTTTAGCCTGCTCAGGTAACACAGGTACCAGAGCAGAGCATGTGTCTGCAGTCTGCTGAGAAGGCACATGCCAAACATCCCAATTTTTAGGACATGTCCTAGATCTTAGTTGCTCTGAAGTTAATGTGGCTGAGGAGAGAGGCTCTTAATTTSTCTGGCTCCAGCAGAAATGTTTTTCAGGTTAACTCAATAGGGGAAGGGTTTTTAACAGGAAACATTCCCTGCTTCAGGATTAGATTTTAAATGATCCTGAAATAGGTAAAGAGCAGCCACAAAGCAGGTCTAACATTTAAGATCATGATGTTGTGACTCTCTCACTCTGGCCTGTAGCCAGGGAGCCAGGAAAATAGGACCTTCCTTTGGACCATGGCAGCTGGGCTGGTTTGAAAGCAAAAACGGGTCAGATTCAGAGTGAGGACAAACAGGTGCTGTCGGGGCAGCCAGGGGAACACCCAGGGAGCAGGGCAGGGTCACCAGCTGTGCCCAGTCCTTGTGGGGCCGCAGTGCTCTCCCCACAGAGCCTCGGGCTCCAGGGCTGGGGAGTGCCAACACATGGAGCCCGCTCGTGTCCAGTCCCTCCATCCCCATCCCCTTCCTGTGACACACACTGTGAAAGCCCCAGCACAGCCACATGGCCAGGCYCATCATTTCCCCTCATTGCCCTCCCTGGGCTGTGCAGCCCAAGCTCCCATCCAAGGAACCTGTCTGCATTCGCACTGGGACAGGGAGCTCAGAGCATGGAGCAGGGTGAGGAGGAAACGGCTTCCCTGGCACCAGCCTGGTGGCACAGACAGAGCTACAAAGCCTGGGTACACCTGAGCTGGCTCCCCATGGAAACCCCACCAACCCACCTGCTTTGCATTGCTGCTCTCTGGGTGGAATGTGATGGGCACTGTGCCCAGTCCCAGAGTGACCAGCACGAATCTGTCCACATCACCCAGCACAACTCTGCACCTCAGCATAAATCCTGCTGCCCCTGGCAGCACACACCTCCCACCCAGGCAGCCCACCTAGGCAGTGCTGGCTGAGCTCCAGAGACCTGGAGTCACAACAGCAYAGAGTGATATTCCACCAGAGACTCCATCAGACTCCAGAGCTCTCCTTACTTTATTTCACAACTAAAACAGCAACACCATTTCCTTTCCCCCAGCTTCTTCTAAYCTGGYTCTTACAGGCAGGTGAGAGCAGGAATGAGGCCTGGCTGCATTKCATTTACAGTGACTGCATTACAGTGACTCTGGGATTATCTATGGGTATTTGGAGATGCGGTTTTAACTATGACATTACTGAGTGTCTCACATGGCAGGCTCAGCAAGGATRTGGGCTAAGGAACAAAACACCTGACATTCCTTTTCTTCTCATTTTACCTCCCTCTGTTATGCTGAAATAATGTACTGTAGCATTTTCCCCAGGAATCTAATGAAATTTTTTTTTTCTTTCAGCTATGACGAATGTGTGGGGCCAGGAGCAACACAAATATATATTCCCACAGATGATCCCCCCCCATATTCCCTTACGGACCCTTACCAAAGACATGAAATATCCATAGGTATCTGTATCAGCCAGGAAGAGGAAGCATCTGGGACTACAGGACAGGCTGCAAATGATGCAGTGAGGCTTCAGGACTTGCAGCAGCCCAGCTCAGCCATCTCGGTTATATCCCACTCAGAAGGCTGCTCCCCTGTATGGGACAGTGGGGTGTGAGCACTCCAGCCCCAGCACACCTGCTCCAACAGGAATATGGAACAGTTGTCCCACTGGCCACCAGACCCCTATCATGKGAATAAAAGCAGCTCTTCCCTTCAATTCTTCTGAAGAATGCAGACCAATGGAAGAGTAAAAACTCTGGAAGTTTTACCAATTTTCTRTCTTTAAACAGGGATACAATGGGATTTTTTTACCGTGAATTTTTCAAGTGTACCTAAACTTCCCTGTTYGTGCTTCCAAGTGTTCCATGACATGACACAGCATAAAAGAGCAGCAGAGACAAGCAGTGCATCTGACCTTGTTGAAGCATTGCAARACCCATTGAAATCAGCCACTCATAATGAAGATAAATGTTATCCAGTCAAGCCTACTTGTCCATTTTATKATATTTTGCATGTTTTAGAGCAGAAGGAAAGAGAAGAGCATTTTGTTGTCATTGTAGGTGTCACTAGTACATCTCATTCAGTGTATTGGCAGCAAAGTATTTTTAAATAATTCTTTGTCCAACTGTGTTTCCATAGACAAAGCACTGCCTAAAAAATATTATCATCAAGCAAAAGAAAAAAAAATAATACTTTAACATTGACATTTTTCCTTTGATACCAGGCTTTCCAGAACATTGCAAAGCCTGCTGCAAGTTTCCCCTCAAGAAAAACCATCCACAAGAGATGGAGAGGTGGCAATGGATCTACATCTACAATTGGCCTCATGTGCAGAAGATGCAGCTTTGCTGCAGCCAAGGAAAGGGCACGGGATCCCAGAGGATGCTTCAGGCCAATTCCCACRCACGGATGCATTACCAGGCACAAACCACTCTGTTTTTCCAGAAGGAGCCTGTAATGTACAATGTGACCACAGTGACCTCTAGGAACTGGGTGAGCATGATGCAAACAAGAGATGCTGGGCTAGGCACAGGAAYAGAACCTCAGTGTGCAGGAACCTTGGAGTGCTCCCAGGCCTGAGAGGGAACCAGGAAAAGGAAAACAGTGAGGGACCCCAGGACACTCGGATGTGAGTCTGTGGCCTCCCAGCTGGTGTGCCAGGGCAGTGGGTGTGGGAGCTCAGCACAGGCACAGCAGGGTCAGGGCACAGCAGCACCCTGTCCCCAGGGACAGCCAGGGCTGTGCTCGGTGCTCCCATGGAGCCTCCCCTGCACCTCCCAAGGCCCAGCCAAAGGGGACTGAGTGTGGCACAGAGTGGCTCCCAGAACAGGCGCTGTGTCTGTGGGCAGGGTAGTGGGAGGGAAYCCTGCCACACATGGGCATCCCTCGCTCCTTTTCCCCTCCCAGGGGCTGCTGGCTGAGCCCCAGGCGCCCGCTGGGCACAGCTCCCAGGGCTGGATACATGTTTAAAAGGCAACACACSCTCTGAGGTTCTCTGTTTACCCCGAGCTGGGGAAAATCCACTTGTGGGACAGGAAGATCTGCTTCCCCCACTTCCTTAATATGGCCAGCAAAAGAAGATTCAGACTAGAGGCCAGCCCTGAAATCCAAGGGTAAGCGACCAAGGAGGTTTCCATCTATCGCCTTAAACAAAACAAAGGTTGGATCCTATTGTTCCCTTCTGCCTGGGAAGTCCCATTCCTCATCTGAAACAGTCCCATTGCTCATCTGAAACAGTCCCATTGCTCATCTGAAATAGTCCCATTGCTCATCTGAAAGCTTCTGTGTGTCTGCTGAGGACACATAACCCACAAGAGAGCAAGAAGAGTTCAACCCTGTGCTTTCCTTGGGACAGTAACCTTGGAAAACATTGCTGTGTTCTTTTGAAATGTGTAGCTGCAAGAAAACCAAGCTCTTCATTTTGCACTCTACAATTTTCAGTATTTTTTTTTTAAGTTCAGTGTCTAATGGAAAACCCCTGGGTAAGTCTGTGTGCTGGCAGGAAGCAGAACTGACTGTCAGCACATTGCAGGCAGGGATGGAACACCAGCCAGTCCTTGGGGCATTCATAAAGCCTGTGTTCCCTCTRGGACCAGGGGCAGGACCCAAGGAGCTCTGTCAGGGGAGCAGAGTTATCACAGGCTCATCTCCAGGAAATCTCCCAGAGGCATTTTCACTAGAATACAAAAAAAAAAAGCTTTTCTACACTGAAAAAAAATGGACTTCATTTTCTATTCCCACTAAAGGATGTATAAAGCTGAGAAAAGTAAATATATAATGGTGTTTAAAAGGAAGCATCATCCAAATTATTAAAATTGCACTTGGATTTTCTGTAAATACTGAATAATTTTCAACTGTAATCAACATTCAACACTCCAAAGATTGACACAATTATAATTAATACTTAGATGGGAAGTAATTATATGGTTCTTACTGCTATATAAATTATACCATTACTGAGTCATATGCACATGATAAGATATAAGGTAAGCATGCATTTTTTGCTAAGTAGATGACAGTAAATATATGTTTTGCTAAAATGACAGAATTYTTTTGCAGTTCAGCAAGATTTTCACTATTCTCAATATACTATACCCAAAAGAACAAAAATTCACAATTTTGCATTGCAGAACTGCTGGGAGAAGGTAGGCTCTATTTCACATTAGTGTTTTTAACAGAGAGAACTGCTCCTCTCTACAAAGTATATCTTTAAATAGTTTTGTGGTATGCAAAGTACCCTGTAATAAGAGAAACAAAACTCTCCATCACCTGTGAGGGCCCAGAGAGGTGAAGCAATGGCCCAGTCAGTTTTATTGTCAGGAGAAGAAGTGAAGGAAGCACAGGGTTGTTTGTGCAGAATAGGCCTGGCTTTCATGGCTGTGTCTGCCTGCAGCTCCTTCAGACCTGCCTGCAACAGGGAAAGGCACTGGGACCCACTTTCTTCAGGCTGCTACAGGGAACGTGCAGGGGGGAAATCTAAAGAACAGAAATTAAAAGCAAAATGTGATTCTTTTTCCTGAAAGTGAGGCTCTTTAAAGGAACATGACCAAGCTGAAGGCTCTTTTGAGGACAAGCACATAGGGCTTTCCWCAAGGGTTTGTGGCAGACAAGTCTCTACTCCATCACTGATGCTCAGTTTCTGTGCACAATGGGCAATYGTTTTGACCTGTTTCCTTTTGACCATTTAACAGGCATTTCCTGCCCTTCCACTCCTCTCTATCTGTGGTTTACAAAACAAGCTGATTTTAGGTAGACCTCTGATGAAAACGGGAGATTTACATTTTACCTCATGTCAGCAATGCATCACTAAGATTACAGAAAACTAATCAAAGTCTTTCTTTCTTCCTTCAGTAAKAGTTAAGTGTCCCTGGCATGCCRTTCTGGGGTTGGCAGCATTTCTTACACATCTGTCTGCTCCCTCTGGTGGCATGGACCTCTCCACGAAATCCTGTCATCCTTTTACCACAGAATAATCCAAATAACCCCWGCTGCTTTGTCACACGGATATGGGAGCCAACCAAAACATACACATCCACACTGTAGCATTTTCCTAAGTTACCAATGAATGCATGGGTTATGTCATTCACTAYAAACAAAAATAATTTAAAAAAWACTTGTGAATTAAAGGTAGAGTGTGCTGCCTTCAGTGATACCTTACCATGATCACTTGCAGGAGTGACTTAGCATTTTCTGCTCTTGATAATATTTTTAACTGAGTGGTATCCAACAAAGCAGAGGGGTGATAAAAGCTTGTAAATCCAAGCCAAACAGAAGTAGGAAAAAAATTGTATCTGTAAAACACTACAGAGRGAAGTTGGCAGATCTGAAGGTGCTCCAACAGCTTCTACTGCAAGTTCTGAACTTTCTTGTAATGACGCAATAAGAACACACTTTCATTTCTTGAACAATAATCTTGGATACCTCTCAGCAAAGTTGGCAGAGTGACGCTGCTCTTGAGAAATTCAYATCCTGCTATCAGTTTTATCCTAAGCCTTTGCATAATTCTAATGCCAGTGCTAAAACCCAGGCTTAACCCAGGCCTTTCCTTTGTCACATGACTAAAATCAGAAAGAAAACTGGACATGCTGTTTCTCACTACATGATAACAAAACTGTATTTCTGTAGTCCTCTCTTTTGCTTTGATTTTTAGTATACTGATCTTATACAGAACTTTTAATAAAGAATATACACGCATTTGGGGTTCCTCCTGTGTTTTTTATTTTACCACTCTGTGACCACCCACAACTGAGCAACTGCTGAGGAAGCAACACTGTGCTTCAGTCACTTCCATTTGGGTTTTACATTTTTCAGAACTATGGGAGCAGTCAGATCCCTCCTGCTCTGGGGGGCAAGTCACTGTCCAAGCTCAAGAAGGACAGAATCAAATTATTGAAGTCATGACACCAAAAATGGCAACGTATCACCAAGGGAAAAGCTGAAAAGCCAGGAAATAATAGGCCAGTCATCCCAGAAATATCCAGAGATCATTTTTTAGCACAGCAAGGTGAGAAAAGATCTATTTTCTGAATGGAAACCACATCAAAYTGATCTAAGTGGTCTTGGTGCAATCTGACAAATCATTCCTCTCTGTAAACTATGGAARTAATTTCTATGTAAAATTATAACCATAGACTTCTGTGAACTGAAATARGAATCATCATATGAGAGAGTATTTATCAATTTGTGAAGTCACACAGATGTACAACATCATAGAKGCCACAGGTGGTGACTTGGAAATTCAGATTCCAAAAAACAAGATTGGAAAAGTACCTGGATTATTGGGGTGTTTTCCAGGTGCTGGATCCATCCTCCATTTAACTCCATTCCAGGACACTTGCCAGCCCCACWGCAGGCACAAACTTCTCTCAGCTGTTACCCAGACCTAGTCCAGGGATCCAGGGGCAGCTTCCAGCCAGAGGAACAGGACAGGCCCAGGGATCACACCATGTCTAGGCTGGTCTACAAGGGGCAGGCAGCAATTGCAGTGTAAACCTTATGTGCTGGGCTAAACTTTCTAAGGAAAAGGGAAGATAATTCCAAGAGGAACAGGCTGTTTGGCCAAGAGCCACCAGGAGTGATGTCAGCAGGACTGAGCAGTACCTGGGGTAGAGGGAATTCCAGCAGGGGGAGAGCAGCTCAGTGACCACCTGATGAAAATAGACCCCAGACCCCAAAGCAGGGACAAATCACCCCTGAGGGCTAATCAGCATGGGAAACGAGAGACATAACCACCAAAGAGGGATCTGAGTACTAATCAACAAAGAAGTTACACAGTTTGCGACCAATAAATGCTGATGTCTTTGTTAAAATGCATAAACAGTGCAAAGTTTTGATAATCAGCGAGCCGTTAGTGAGTTACCAGGTGCTCCCTGCTTTGTGCAAACCAGGTTAAAGCACAGAAACACCTACCTGAGGTGTGAGAACTGGCGCTGTGAACCAGGAGCCGCCGACACCCCGAGCCATCCCCAGACGCACCCTC